CACCCACCCACCCACACCCACCCACCCACCCACACCCACCCACCCACCCACCCACCCACCCACCCACCCACGCTCCCACACGCACACAAGCACACAAGCACACACAACAGTCACAAGAAGAGCCTCCAGGCAAAAAGTAGCACACAGCCAGGTTCGGTGGCGGCAACCTGACCAGGGCATGGCGCCTGAGTCTGTCTGACACGAGCGTCCTTCCTAGGACGCGCTTCCTGAAGGCAGGATGACTACTGCCCTTGATTATGCTCGCTTCTGCAGCTGTCATCTTGGTGATTATCTGTGGTAGCATAAGTAAGTTCTATTCTACTTGCAGATGTGACAGTGGCATGGCAGTCACTGGGATCGTTGTTGTTGTTGTTGTTGCCGTTCGCCTTTAGACTGGGGCTCCTTGTTTGGTCAACTTCGACACTCGGTGCAGTCGTGAATCCAGCACTGTTTGGACTGCAGGCATGTGCCAAGATGGGCTATGCCAAGAAAGGAAAAGACCTATGGAAGATGATGGACAAGACCGGGAGTGGCTTTGCCTCCGTAGATGAGATTGACCCGAGAACTGCGCAGGTTGTGGCTCACTTCAAGAAGTTCTTGGATGAGAGCTTCGAAGACTACCATGCGGCGTTCGAAGAGTTAGATCTTGATGGCACGCGGAAGATCCGGCTGCGACAGTTCCAACAAGGGCTGCAGAAGCTTGGGTTCCCCTTCCACACGCAAGCGTCGACACTTTTTGCTGTCCTAGATCTGGATTGTAATCACGTCATCGATGAGGATGACTTGCACTTCCTGGAGAAATGGAGCCCTTTACCCTTCCTCACCGCGACTCCCAACCTGAATGCCAAAGACGGAGTCAAGAAGCTCCTTTTGCATCGCTACCACCGTCCCGTGAAAGTGTGGCAGGCAGCCCAGTGCCCCCAAGTTTCGGTTGCGAGCAGTGGCCGCTTGCATACCCTCTGAGGCGGCAGCTCCTGGATCGGGATGGCAGCAACCGTGCGGGGCTGAGCCTGGGTAGAGTGTGTCACTGCCTGAGAAAACTGAAATCCGGAGCTGATCGTCTCTGGTAGTGCATATTGCTGTAGTTACTGCAACTTCTCGGAAAAATCTGCGACCTCCCTCAAGAAACTTCCGCATACATGATGCGCTTTGCGGCAGTCAGCTGTGGTTGTAGCTTTGGATCTGCTTTGGGGGGAAGCGGGAAGCCTGGGACGCTTGCCTCCTGCAGGGTGGTTTTGCCGGACACTATGTTTTGGGTCTTAAGGGGTTGAATCAGTCGATCCAATTCTATCCAACAGAAATCCAAGCACCGCGAGACAGTGAGCTTTCAAACAGTGTGCTCAGCTGTCAACGAGGATGTAACTGGCATGAGTTCCTCTTCGCCTGCAAGACCTGCGGATTTCATGGTGTGGCTCTAAAGCTTGATGGGCTCGGGCATGGACCTCTTGTTCGGGAATCCCTCCAGACTCAGGTGATATCCCTGGAGCGTGGCGTGCACTGGACGCAGATCTTACAGGGCACCTGAACTTAAAAACAACGCCGTGGTGCATCGTAGAGCATCCAAGGCAGTGTACCTTCTTGATTGGGGGCAGGTACATTACCTTGAAAGAGCTGGACGAAGACAGCTACAACACGCTCATGGAATTCAGGCCTTGTCTGATGTAACAGGCTGAAGCAAGTGCAATTGGGAATGCCAGGATCATATACTCACGAACAAGGTGAATGCTTCTACTACTGCTGGTGCTACTGCTACTACTGCTACTACTACTACTACTACTGCTACTACTGCTGCTACTTCTGCTACTACTACTACTACTACTACTACTACTACTACTCGTACTACTACTACTACTACTACTACTACTACTACTACTACTTCTACTACTTCTACTACTACAACTACTACTGCCACTGCTGCTACAACAGCAACGACAGAACAACAACAACAACAACAACAACAACAACAACAACAACAACAACAACAAGGTCACGCGTAACGGATCCCAGGTTTTTTTGGGGTTTGGACCTCGAAAATGCCGCTCCCACCGACAAAGTTGGACTTGGCGGGGGTGGGGGGGGGGGGGTAATAGGGCCTTT